ATGATTTTTCTTTTGTATTTGTTTTTACTAACAATTCAACAACATAGTTATTTGTTTGTGTATCAATTTCATCAATAAATTGGTCAGTCAATAAATGTCTTAAATCATAAAGTGAGCTAAATATTGGTACTAAATTAGTAACAAATAAATCCGAAAACTAAGTTTTGGTAACTGACATGGTAAGTATTTGGTCTTACATTTAGTTTACTCTCAATAAGTATTAAATTCTGATTCTATATGTATCTTATGTAAAAAACATGAATGATGTATCCTCGATATGTTACTGACTTACTAATAGTGGTATTTTCCATTTATTAACTTCCTCTTTTAATATGGGTAACCAGATCCTACTGCATTCTGCCGAGGAATTTGCGACACAATTGGTCTCATTTAGCATAATTAGAGCCGCTTCTTTAATTTTTCTCTTTTTACCATCTGTTTTTTTTATGACTATACTTCAATCGTTCCATTGAACCCTATGTTTATTTTTCCATACGTGTTTACATATTGAAGATATACCAAATTCTCTATTTTTAATATAAGATTGATGTTCACTTATTCTGACATTTAATGGACTTGAGGTTTCACCTAAATAAAACTGATCGCATTCACAAGGTATTTTATAAATACAATTATTTGTTCTTTCTTGTTCATTGTTAGGTTTAGTTTTAGATAAAATATATCTCAATGTGTTTGTTGTTTTAAATGTTGAATTTATTTTCTCTCTTTAAGTTTTTTTGATAATCCTTTTATGTATGGTATTGTTATTTTCCTCGTATTATTTCTTGTGTACTCTCTACGATCTCGTTCTGTTCTATTTGTTGGATTGTTGAAAATTTCCTAGTGATAAACGATAAACGATAATAATTTTTTATTAAAACAGATGTTAACATTTTTTTTCCTTTAACAACGAATTTTTGTTAGAACAAGTAATTTTGGCTCTATCGTATAATGATTTAATAATTTTCTTTATAATATTTATATTGTGATCTGATACAACAAGAAATATCGGATATCCAACAAGAAACGAAATACGAAGTGGCAAAGAGAAAGAATATGAATTTTCAAGAAAAAATAATGAAACATTCTTCTTCTTCTTCTCGTGCCACTCCTAGTGGAGATTGGAAATCATCATGGCCACTGCGACTTTGTTAGCAGCGCGCCTAAAAAGTTCAATCGAACTACACCCGAACCATTCACGTAGATTACGAAGCCACGATATTTTTCTTCTTCCCACACTTCTTTTGCCCTTAATTTTGCCCTGCATGATGTTTCTTCAAAGTTCGTACTTTTCACCTCTCTCAATGTGCCCCAAGTATTCCATCTTTCTAGTTTTTATCTCATTTAGAAGTTCGCATCTTTTGTCTAAAGTTTGGAGTACTTGCGTGTTAGTGACACGGTGCATCCATGATATTCTGAGAATGCGCCTATAGCACCACATCTCGAAAGCTTCGATGTTTTTTATGGTCAACTGTTTTAGTGTCCAAACCTCAACTCCATATAACAGGGTAGAAAAGACATAACACCGCAGCATTCGTATTCGTAACTTTATATTGATATCACGATTGCAAAAGAGTTTGCGCATTCTATTAAAGACTGATCTAGCGATTTCTATTCTACATCTAATCTCTTTTGTTTGATCAGTATAATGTTCAGTATAATAAATGAAACATACGTACATAAAAAAACATAAATACATTAAAAAACACGATCAAGTAAAAATAAGTACGTAGAACATCAGAACAATTCTTGAACCTGAAAAAATGCAAGAGATTGTCTTAGAGCTGGAAAGATACGGAATTGATGTTGCAGCAATTCAAGAAATTAGATGGGCAGGTCAAGGAGAAATAAATAAAAAAAATTACACATTACACTACTCTGGGCATGAAAAACAAGATCAATATGGAGTTGCATTTATAACTACAGGAAAAATACAAAATAATATTATGCAATTTAAACCAATAAATGAGCGCGTGGCATACCTGAGAATTAACGCCAAACCATTTAATATAATCATTATAAACGTATATGTACCAACTGAAAGCGCTGTAGCAAAGGAAAAAGATAACATTTATGAGAAATTGGAACAGAAAATTGAATATTTACCCAAAGAAAACACAATTCTGGTAATGGGAGATTTTAACGCCCAAATAGGCAAGGAAGACTATATTATTCAAGTTGCAGGTAAATACACATAACATGAAAAAACAAATGATAATGGTCAAAGGTTATGCAACTAGCAACTAGCACCAATATGATTGTCAGTAGTACAAAATTTGCACACTCTGTGTACCACAAAGTAACATGGATCTCAAAATAGACCATTTACTCATCACAAAGAAAAAGCAAACATCAATAACAGACGTGAGAACATACAGAGGTGCACATGAAGACACAGACCATTTCATGGTTACCGCAACGTTAAGACAAAAAGTCAAAAGAGCGCTAAAACACAAGACAACAAACGACAACTGATACATAGAAAAACTGAATGCTACAGATAGAAGAATTAAATATGCAGAAGATATAAGCAAAAAACTGAAGGAATACTATGAACATACAGAGGATGTTGAAACAGAATGGAGAAATATAAAAAAATGTATAAATGAAACAGCTTCTGAACATGTAGGGATAGAAAGAAAGAACAAAAAAGAAGAATGGTATAATCAAGACTGTCATAACATGTTAAAAAAGAAGATAGAAATAAGACAAAAGTGGATCAGAACAAATAGACAAGAATATAAAGAAGAATACAACAAATTAAGGACAGAATGTAAGAAACAAATAAGGAAAATTAAACGAACCTGGTTAAATGATAAGATAAATGAAATAGAAAAAGAAAACACAAACAGAAACACAAAAGCATTTTATAAGAAAATTAGCGAGCAGAACAAAACCTTTAAAGGAAAGATAAAAGGCATGAAGGATAGAAATGGAAAAGTATCAGAAAATGACAAAGAGTTTAAAGAAATCTGGACTGATTATTTTAAAGAATTATTAACAGTACAAGAGGACCAAGACTTAAATGAAAACGTAGAAGAAGAGACCACGATGATAGAAACCGAGCTAGAAAAACCAACGAAAGATGAAGTTGAGGAAATTATAAACAGTAGTCGCAACGGTAAAGCACCAGGTATAGACGGTATAAACATGGAACTTATAAAATATGGTGGACATGAACTCAGAGAAAAAATATACCAATTAATAAAAGTCATATGGGACGAAGAAAAGATGCCAGAAGAATGGTACAAAGGACAAATTATCACAATCCATAAAAAAGGAGACCAACAAATGTGTAATAATTATAGAGGACTGACATTATTAAACACAGCGTATAAAATCATGTCAACCTTAATACAACGAAGACTGGCCGAAGCGACTACAAATATCATGGGACAGTATCAATGCGGATTTATTAGGGGAAAGTCAACAACAGATGCCATACATACGGTAAAGCAAATTATGGAGAAAGCTTATGGATATAAAATAGACATTGAACTGCTTTTTATAGACTTCCAACAAGCATTTGATTCAATAAACAGAGCGAAATTACTTACAGCTATGAGAGAAATGAGAATACACAACAAATTAAGACGATTAATAAAAATGACAATGAGCAAAACCGTAGTAACTGTAAAAACACAAGAAGGAGACACAGAAGAATTTGTTATAAATAAAGGTGTACGTCAAGGAGATTCATTATCTGCAACTCTCTTTAATCTTGCCCTGGAATATATAGTCAGAAAAATCAACAAAGGTACACTTAGAACGAGAGAGGGACAAATAATAGCATATGCCGACGATATTGTGATAATAACAAAGAACAGAAAAAAAATGGAAAGTATGTTAAAAGAATTGGTAGCAGAAGGGAAAGTAATGGGCTTAGTAATAAATCAAGAAAAAACAAAAATAATGAGATTTGACAAAAAATATGAAAACAAAAATATTAGACTGGAGAATATATATTTGAAGAAGTAGAAAAGTTTAAGTATTTGGGAATATTATTAACAAACAATGGAGAAAGGGAAACAGAAATTAAAGAAAGGATAATTACAGCAAATAAGACATACTATGCAAATAAAAAACTTCTAAAAAATAAATTACTGAGCAAGAAATCGAAAATGAAGATATATAAAACAATAATTCGACCGACTATGATGTATGCTGCAGAAACCCTTAGCATGACAAAAAAACAAGAGGAAGACCTTAGAATACTAGAAAGGAAAATACTAAGAGCAATATTAGGACCAATAAAAATTAATGAAAACCAATATAGACAAAGAACGAATCATGAACTACTAAACGAAATTAAAGAGGATATAGTTTGTAAAATAAAACAGCAAAGGGCAAAATGGCTAGGACATATATGGAGATCAGGACCATCTACGACAATATTTTCAATATTGGAATGGACACCAGCTGGTAAAAGAAGACGTGGAAGACCAAGATCTACATGGCTACAAGAAGTAACAAATGATCTCAACAGGGCGGGCGTACGGCAATGGAGAGAAAAAACCAGAGATAGGAAACAGTGGAGAAAAATAACAGGAAAAATTAAATAAAGAAAATGAGGACTGATCTATCTCGTAACATAGATCTAGAGAGCTTAAGCGGCGTAATCTCGTGTGGGGTGTACCCACACGTTACTTCTCAGTAAAAATAATCATCAGAAAATATCATGTATGTTGAAGCTCTAACACAAAACTACATGCAAAACATATAAAAGATATTTTTAAACACTACATAAATTTTATATTTCATGATTCATAGTTTCCCCATGTATATTGAGACAATAATTAATTATTCTTGTCTAGGTTATGACGTGGCTAAAAAAATTTTATAAAGAAATAGTTAATGACAATTACCGAGTATGATCTTTTCGGACCATGATCAATTATTTTTGCTAAATGTCCCTCTACCTGCAATTACCATAATAACAACAACAAATTTTAAATAGGGTCAAAGAGTGTAGATTCGCATATAAATACATCGAGGTGTTTGTAGAAGTCAGTTAATTGAGAACTAGTGTAAAGTACTTAAATAAAAATGAAACTCTCAATCGCAATTTGCCTAATCTTCGTATTCGTCGCCGTTTCTGCGAGACCCGACGACAAGTACACTACGAAATATGATAACGTGAATTTGGATGATATTATTAAAAGTGATAGACTGCTGAGGAACTACATCGATTGCCTTTTAGGGACTAAGAAATGTACTGCTGATGGAGAAGAATTAAAAAGTAAGACAACAATTTATTATATTGTGATTGACATTGAATTTCAAGTTTCTGTTTTTTAAAAAATATGTTCTGACTAGCCCAAAAATCAAATCCATCTATTTTATCTAAATGCTAAATTTTAAATAACTTGAAATAATTATACTTAGTTATAAATTATTTATTTGTTTATTGATCTTATATGACTAGGACATATTTAATTTACGTTTGATATCGCTTTTCAACAAATTTAGCTAAATTTTCTTTATTTTACTGACTTATTCTCTTTTCCAATAGCTCCAATTCATTTGAGCCAAGCAATTTTCCGCTCTTTGGATTTCCTTTTTATTTAAATGCAATATTACTATTTAAGTGAGTTTATCCATAAATATAGTGGCGCACTAGCCATAGATCGATAAAATATACTCAATATCTTTCAATCCCTCTTATCTTAACGTACTGCTAATCCATAGGTTGATCTAATACACTCAATCGTTCCGATTAAAGTCAATTAATTTCGTCCGTCTGGCACGCTTGACTATCTTACTGAGAATCTAGTATCTACAGTACTGTACAGTAGAGTATCTTCATCTTTCAATTTGTTTGATCGTTTTACAATTTGTTTATTTGCACTCTTTTTTATCAAATTCGTTTAAGAATAAACCTTTTGTACAAGTCTAAACTCAATATTTCTCTTAATGAATTGTTTGTAAAAGCCTACCTAATTTGTGAATTGTTTTTGTACGATGTTTATTTCCTCTTGTGATACTTTAGCTCTATATATCTATTGTAATTTCACACTTCAGTACATATTTTCTAATCTATTATTTTAGATTTTTCTTAAAACTTGCTCATTACATGAAGTTTCAAATGCTTTAAGAATATTTTGATTACTATTTCAGAGCATTTAATATCACTTAGAACGAGAAAAATATTTTCTATTTTTTATGTATTTTTATCCTCCTGGTCTTTTTCGTTCACATTGTCATATTTTTCTTTCTTTTAGCCTCAAAATTTCGGGATATTTCTAGCGTCATGCCACTGGGAATGATCTTGCTGTGTTTAGTAATCTGTTTTAGGTGATTCTGATAATATGGTTGCTTCCCTATACTCTTCTTTTTTTAAACATTAATGATTAATTCCTCTGAGAGTTTTTGTTTTTGTGGATTCCAGTTTTCTTCCAGTTCTTATGTTGTTTGATCAGATTCTCGTTCTTCTTGATGTACCATGTCCTTTTAGAATGTTGGTTACCCTCATAGCTAACTTAATTTTATTTATTGCCACCCTAAATAGCATTATTGTATCAATACCATACCAATATCGCAAGTTCATCAACCATCAAGTTTTTCTTCGTCCTGGACTGCGTTTGCTGAGATGTTCTAGTATTGGATATTTCGAATTTTCTTTACTCAAGAAACTTTTAAAATTCTTCTGTAGCACCACATTTTGAAAGCCTCAAGGCAATTTAGATAACTTTTATTTATAATTCAAGACTCGACGCCATAAAATAAGACCGAGAATACGTAGAAGCGAAGTAGGCTGATCCGCAATGCCAATTCTAGATCTATGTTACATTATACCTTGGAGATCCCTCTAAAAGTGGCTTTGGCTTGCTCAATCTTAGTATTTAATTTCACCGTGACTCTCTGCGTTACAGTTTAACTGATATTCCAGGTAAACAATTTGATCAACTTGCTCAAGTTTGGTACTATTTACATATATGACGGTTTTATATTGTGTTGTTTAATTATTAAGAATATTGGTTTTCCGTATGTTCAGATCCAGACCTACTTCCTTACTGCTCTCAACGACACTATCCGGTAATATTAGCAGATTTTGTTGAGTAGATGCTAGGAATACTGTGTACTCAGTAAATTGCAAATTATTAATGACTTAACCGTTCACAATAATTTCTTCATCCCTGTCGTAATTTGCTTTTACTATTATTAAAAGCCTGTGATTCCAAACCATCTTCTAAAACTGATGTTGTTTGATTCCAATACTTTGCAATTATACGAACGTCTCTGCCATCCAAACCAATATATCTGAAAAGTGTGATCAATATAGAGTGCTTAATGCAATCTTATGCCTTTTGGAAGTTAATAAAACAACAGTACATGTCTACAGATATATCACGACGTCTTTGAGCAACTACGTTCATTCCAAACAACGCCTGTTCGTGCCAAACCCGTTCCGAAAACCAAAATGTGTGTCACGCAGGCATTTCTCGCATTTATTAAAGATACGGAATGTATTACATTTAGAAATTTTTTTTATTAAAGAGCTTGACAAACTAATGGTTCTGTAATCAGCACAGATTTTTGCTGTTGTCTTTTCAGTTAAAGGTAGGAACAATGAATTGGATCTATTAATATATACCTATAATTGGATTATAACCTCTAGAACATTTCTTTCATTTATAATCTTGTATATTTTACCTGAAATTTCATCAGGGCCTGTCACTTTCCCATTTTTGGGATGATTATATGGCTTGTGTTACCATAGAGCTTGTAATTAGGGGTCCGTCGCAGTTGTAAGATAAGGAGGTGAACAAATCCTATAGTGTTCGAATAGGTTATTAATTTAATTTTGCCAATATTTAACTTTGTCTTAAACTTTACATATTACTTTACCATATTCATTATGTAGCAGTGCAGTTTGTTTCTTAATAAAGATACCAGCCGCTTCTTTTACTTCTATCTATCTGTTTTCAGCTTTTTCAATGTCATGATACTGTTTGGCTAGATGTTGACTCTGCTTCTGGTATTTTACATCCAATTTCTTATTGTATCCTTTTTTAAAGCTTTTTGTTGTTTTTTACTAGTGGCTATTCTCCACTAAATATAATATGTTTTCCGTCATCCAAACCTTTTTTTAGCTTTGAGCTGCCTTTTAAATTACTTTAACAGATGTCCTTAATTTTTTTCGATGTCTTATTATTTTTTTAATTCTACTTTTTACTTATTTCTTTGTATTTGTTTGTTTCTTTATATTCTATTATTCAGACGTCCCGTAGCTACGTTTACTCTATTCACTTGTGCTTCCACTTATGTCTCACGTTTTTCATGGGTTGAGAGAGTCAGATCCAAATACTTTATTTTTCTGGTGAAATTATCATATTAAGTTTCCTTACAATTTCTGTGGGAATTATTTTAGTTCTCCCCTTTAATTTTTAAAATCAAATTATAATCTTTAATATTGTTAAGATAGAATAAACACTGAAGGAGAACGACTGGGCTTGAAGATTAATATAGACAAGACGAAGGTAATAGTGGTTAGTAGAACACGAAATATGCAATTAAATATAAGAGTTAACAATAAGAACATCCAAAAGGTCCCCAAGTTCAGATATCTCAGTAGTTGGATAACTGACGATCTAGATCCAGACATAGAGGTACGTAGCAGGATTGAGCAAGCCAGAACAGCATTTACTAATATGAGTACCTTACTAAGCAACAGCAGCCTCAACTTCATGCTTCGATATCGCTTTGTAAAATCTTACAACAAATGTCGAAGTAGTAAAAAACATATGGGATTGAACAAACCTTAATGCCCATGCACTCTTTAGAGCCACACAAGATCGAGAGGAGTATGCCACAATTGTCGCCAACATCCACTAATTGGATAGGGCACCATAAGAAGAAGAATATTGTTATTGTCTAGTATTTCGTTATTTGCAATCTTCTCTGATATTCTTTTTTGGTATAGATATTATGTGGACCTCAAAAGTATACCTTCTAACTTGATTTTGTATCGGTGTCGTAGTCTAGAATTTGCTGTCCTTTATGTTAATTCTCATTTTACATAATAGGCAATTGTAATCGCTTTATACATCTGCTAATTTTACACATCATATATCAATTAGTTTAGATGAGGACATTTGTATGTTTGTTATAGCTATCTATAAGTCCAATCTCTAGTCGATCTTTGACATCGTATATTGCTTATAAGTATGCAGTCCTTCATAGAATTATTCTCCTATAATTTTCGGTTTATATTTGCTTCACTGATACTGCAAAATGACTAAATTATATATATATATATATATATATATATATATATATATATATATATATATATATATATATTAATACACTTTCGTGTATCATTAGATTATTCTTATATGATTTTTTTATCATTTTAACTTATCCTTGTTAAGGCATCTATTTGTTTCCGAGGCTTTATATTTTTTGGTAAGTAAAACTACTCACTACTACTTACCTCACCTACTAACCTTATAAATTTTGTCAGAGCAAAAGTATTAGCAAATTCCTACCCCGGTGTTTACCAAATACCCCTTCAAAATAATCTTGGAATACTCTTTAGTTTTTTTTCCGATTATTATGTACTTCAGATCTGTCAGTTCTAAGTTTTGCCAGCTGTAGATATCCTTTTTTGTCTTCCTATCATATTTTTCTCTGGTATTCTTTAAATATTGTAAACCAAAAAAAACCGAAGATTTTTTTTTTTTTCTAGTAACCAGTTTTTTCCTTATTCACTTAACATTCGTATTTTTGCAAAGATAATACATTCCTATATATCATAATAAATATTTTATATCTTGTCATTTTGTTTTATTTCCCACTACTATTGTATTGTATTTTTTTCATATTTTCCTACAGATTTAGCCTTACGGCTCACACTACCTTTAAGGGAATAATTTACTGATCCCAGATACCTGCATAGTGGGACTCTTTCCGTGTTGTTAAGCCCTAGGTGACTTGGTATAACTCAGAACTCAGAACGTCAGAATAACTCCAAAAAATGTTCTTACCCATTTGGATGTTGAGCATAGTCTCGCTTTCTGCATGGTCTTATAGTTATTTATATAAAGATTCAGCTTTTTTATGTTTTCTTAGAAGTTCTTCTGAAGCAATGAGTTCAGTAATAAAGAGAATCATAGTTATCGTCTAGGTACATTTCATTTTCAATTGCCACCTTATTTGTATTTTCATATCTCAGTATTTGGGGATCGTTTTATTGTATTTAAGATGTAGATTATCATTATTAGATATCTTCACATC